GGTGTGGAAAACGAGCAGCATCTCCATGGAGGGAGATATTCATTGGGGCAGGAATGAGGCCAGTGCAGTTGAGTCAGTTCGCTGATATTCAAGCTGAGTCTTTGCTGGGGAAGGTGCATGTAAGAGGTTTCTATGTGGCAAAACGGCAGGCTGAGTTGGTTCTTTGCTGGCATGATAGGCCACTCGTTGCTACATCTGCTTGGAAGTGTTAGAAACAAAAGATGATATTAGTATATTAGAAGTCAATTAGGTTGTTTTTGGATGTAATGATGAATGTAACTCAAAACCTATCTAGTTTTTTTCACTTTTGGTAGTTTTCTGTTGGTGTCTTGCTCGAAAAAAAGAAAGGGGCTGAGTATCTTTAGTCTCTCTCTAGGTCTCTCTTTTGTATAACTTGCACAGAACCTTTGCCTGTTATCAAAAGATTTGGGGAAATATAAATTGAAAGGGATAACCCCAATTAGGGAATCGCAATCTGCAAATTCTGTTTCCATGATTTTTTTTTGTTCTGCATGAAGTATTTAGGACAGCAAAATAGGGTGTAACTGTCCAAGACTATTTTGATGTCAACATCCTTATTGTTACTGTCCAACTTATTAATTTTAATGTTTTTGCAACCCTTCCAAATAGCTGCAATTGATAAACCTAGACTAATCATACTATTAAACACCTAATCAAATCATGCCTAATCGAAATTCTTGCATAAACTCAGAATTAGAAAGAAGACCAGCAAGTAAAAAACAGCGAGAGAACCTAGGAAAGATGATCAGAATGTTGAAACATGCAAGTCCTCCATGATCCAAAAAACTAAATGAAATTGTACCTGCAAGAGTTTCAGCATATTGCTACTAATTTCTTCTTCTCCCATATTTAACTTTGAATTTGGGTTTTGAGACTCAAGTTAATATTTTAAAATGGCATGACAGAGTGATACGAGTTTGAGGCTCGTGTCTAATTTTTAGATTATTACGGAATTATAATTATTTTTATTTCATGGTTTGATAGGTGAGATTTGGCACAATGTCCATGTTTATTTTATTTTTATTTTTGAGCTTTTTTTTTTTTTTTTTTTTTTAATTTTTGTGTGAGATTAAGGTTTAATTCGCAATGGGATTTAAGCTCTAACTTTTACCTTCCTAAATGGACTTCAACGGCCCAATGACATATTAAGTGAGAGACGAAATTTTCTTCCAGTCTTTAAATCACCTTTTTTAGGACCGATAAGAAAAAACTCCAATAATAAAATAAGCAAATCGAGATAGAAATGTAATTTGCATGAATGAATTTCTCAATCTAGAAATATAAGATAACCTCATTGCGAGGGTACACTAAGATAATTGTAATGTTTCTCGGTTGTATAATCAACTCCCTTATTTAGAACTTTTAAAATCAAAGCTACGTTTTTTCTTTGTTTTCATTTTTTGAAAACCGAGTGGTGATTCCACACCTATACTTTTTATTTTTTTGCGATCATTGAGAGGTCACCGTGTGATAAAAATGACTAACTTATCATTAACTCTATACAAATTGATCATCTTTTCCATTATAAAAAAATTAACACCCAAACTTTACGAGTTTTGTCTTTTAAATTCAAATTAATAAAGAATCATATCTCTTCTCTTGACTAAGATACATGACAACAAACCAACAATTCACAAGATATATCAACAACATAGTTAGTTTAGATCAAAAGCCATTCAATCATTAATAATTATTTAAAGAATCACGATCTCATCGGTGGCATCGTTTGTATAAAACTGAGCAAAAAAAATAAAAATAAAAAAATCCTAAACTACTTAATTAAGTCCATATAGGTCAAACACTTATTTTTTTACGCTAATTTAGCTATTAGAGGGTCCTTTAAACACCGAGAGAAAAACTTATTTTGCGGATACATAACAAGAAACCAACAATCCACAAGCTATATCAATAACATAGTTAGTCCGGATCAAAAGCCATCCAACCGTTAATAATTATTCAAAGAATCACGATCTCATCGGTGGCATCGTTTGTATAAAACTAAGCAATAAAAATTAAAAAAAAATCCTAAACTACTTTATTTTCTCCACCTTCAAGTTTCTCCATAATTGATAATCATGAAATTCGATCACATTCAACTTTGTTACTCTTAATGATCTCGTCAATTGACGTACTACAACTACAAAGACATGATGAGTTGTTAATGGAGGCGTACATATGGACTCAAAAGCATATGAAGTCTTTGACCACTCCGTTACTAATGGCTTAAATGCAACAAGCACCTCCACATGCACCACCTCTAGAGGCTTTTGTCCCATCACAAATTCCGCCACACGCAAACCTCTCACGTAAAAATAAGCTAGCCCAACACTTGGTTGAAGAAGAAACAACCGGACACGACGAAGAAAAAAGTTGAGAGAAGGGAGCATTGTTGTTTCCTATAGTCTAAAAAAAGTCACTCTCATCGTCATGCCAAAAAACTAGCCACTCAAGACTTCCAAAGAGAAAAAAACATAAAATTGAATATTGTAACAATGCCAAGAGCAAACATAACACTACCGAAATAGATGCGGTACCAACACCAAGACAACTCCTCTTACCAAACTTCCTTGGTGAGCCTTGAACCTAAATGCCAATGTTGCTTGGTTCGAGTCTTGCCACTAGAACCATAAGCTTCAAACCTCTTACATCTTAAACTTCGAACTTCTAATGGAGTTCTCTCGTTGGAAAAATAAATCCGGACATAAGCTTCAAACACCTCACATCTTAAACTACGAACTTCTAAAGAAGTTCTCTATTGAAAAAATAAATCCGAACATGTACAATGGTATGATAAACCCTTAAGAATATGTATAAAATGTCTAGAAAAATGTTGAGTTGATCATTAGCTTAGATACATATGTAACGTGCTTCCAACCATTTTTCAAGGAGTGGTGAGCAAGTGGTACAACAACTTGTATACTAAGTTGATCCTTAGTTTTCCATCGGTATTCTTATTGAAAGAAGCTCAAGAGACTTGTTCGAGTCTTTTTAGAGAGAGAGAGCACCCAAGCTTACCTCTCTTACTATCACCAAGAAATACTAAGTGTTGATGTCTACTAGAACTTATAGCAACTAAAGCCCTCATATCAAGGGTCCGTGATGCTAATTTGTGAAAAAAAATCCATACTATCTCTAACGAAACCAAAAACCCATAGAAGAAGAAAAAATGAAATAATATAAAGATAACAATACCTCCTAACTAAGATGTATTCCCATACCTTCCTTTTTATCTAATACAAAGATAACAATAATCATTACTCTCTCAAAAGTAGATAAAGCAAGTCAAGCTCACTCAATAACAATAGGTAGTATTTGCAAGTTTTGCACTAGTCAAATGATGCAAGAGATATGTCTTTTGTCTTCTTTTTCTTTCTACACTTCTTTCCTTCCCTTCTTGCACACCTTCAAAAAATGTTTTATTAAGTGTATTTGTAAGTGTTATAGAAAACTAGCTATTCGACAAGCATGTACATAAGTATTGAATGGTTCGTTAGAGAGAATCCTCTAACAAAGAAATTAGCCATTATAGATATCCTTTACTCTTTCATCGAATATGATCTCTATTCAATATGAAAGTAGACTGTTGTAGAGAAATTATCCAAGCAACGAATTAGTTGTTGTAGAGAATTCATCTAAGGAATTAGTTGTTGTAAGGAATCTCCACTTCATATGGAAATAGCCATTAGAAATCTTCACTTAATATGAAAGTAGTCGTTGAAGAGAATTTCTCCAAGTAAACATTATCCAATATTGAAGAGAATTTTTGTTCAATAATGCATTAACCAATCGAAAGAATCCCTCTCAAAATGTAGAAGTAACTATTGTACAAAATCTTGTCAAAACAAGCTAGATTTTGTCCAAACTCGACTTGTTCGGTTCTAGGCTCAACTTGGCTAGTTCGGGCGAAGTCAACCTAGGTTCTCCTTTTGCTTGGTCGGTCCTTATAGGGAGAAGAATAGGTAGAATGATGTTGGAGCTCAAGTCAACTTGTTTTGCCTCCGTCAACTCGGTTCTTCTTGCTTTTTATCTTCTTGAACTTTGTACGATCAAACTCTAGGTATGAACAAGTCTTTAGGTCCATCTTTAATGTCACAAAGCTTAGATTAATCTATTTTTATTGATTAAGAAGCTCATTTTATGTGTTTGAATAATATCCTTTAACATCACAACACTTGAGCACAATATTAATAGTAACAAGTGTTTTGTTATTATCAAAATTACAACTATTGTGGCGACGATCCCTTAAAGCTACCATAATTAAAATTAGAAAATAATTTTTAGATAACATATGCATAATTTAATATAGTTAACACTCAATTTTGATTTAATATCCTTGACACTCAATTTTGGGTTGTTTTATTTTTTCTTTTTCTTTGATTTTTTTTAATTTTCACATGTAACTTTTCTATGCCCAATGCACATACTTGTGAACACAAGGATGAATGCTTTAACCCAATCTATAATAAATCAAATTATAAATTAATCCCTCTAGTTTCAAAAAATAAATAAATTAATCTCTTTTATTTTAAAAACTAATTATTTAGTCTCCATATTTTAAAAATTTTCTTATAACATAACTGTTTTTTCTTTTTCAATTTATTTTGATTTTTTTTTTTAATTTTAAGAAAATGAAAAAAAAGTAAAATATAGAAGGATTGATGATGGAAGATGAATTTTTTTTAAAAAAATTAATATCAAATTAAGTATAGTCAATATTGATTGAAAGATTAAATATTTAATTTTTTTAAAAAAGCTAATTTATTTATTTCTTAAAATTAGAGGGACTAATTTATAATTTACTCATCTATAATGGAAGGGTATAATCATAAAATAATAATAATAATAATAAAAACAAAATCATACAAGGGTAAATCCAAAAACAAATCAAGAGAGCGTGGACAAAAAGTGCCATAAACCTATTTGCTTGACGAAAACTCAGTTTCACCTTAATAAACTCTCTGGTTCGATTCCTTCCTGGAATGGCTCTTCTCGGATCCAACGTAGCAAGCGAGGTTAGCAATTACAGTACCATCTCGATGTTCTTATGTTTAACACAAAAACTAGCATATGTGAAGGTTTCGATTTTTATTATTGTTTTACGCAATTGATTTATCAGTCATGAAATCCCATTAATTATCCAATCTTGATGTTCTAATGTATTTCTGGAGCTATATCATTTGATGCTTAAGAGAAGCTGATATCATGATTTAGATGCCTTAAAATGATGCTAGTTGTTGTGGCCTAGTACTGGTGCAGTATTAAAAATGGTGTGAATAGATTAAATTTGGTGAATGAACTGTAATTGAAACTTATTTAGGAGACATGTAGTCTTCTTGAGGGATCTAGTGTCTCAAAAGGTTATGGAAAGTTCACCCATGATAGAATTGAATGTAGGCTGACTGGTGGTGAAGATAGAGAGGGTAGTTTGTAAAGGGACTAAAACAAAGGGGAAGGGTCCATTTGGGTGTTAAAATAAAGGGTAGTTCAGATGGGCTAATCCCATTTGCGGATGACTGCTTTGTGAGCTAGCTCTCTCTGCTGTTGGAAGATGGGAGATGCTTGTAGCCAACATGAACTATTTAAGGATTATGCTTTAGTTGAGGTTGTGGATTCATAAATTCTTCTGTGTTTTTAAATCATTGTGTTTATAATTATCTATTATGTGAAGCAGGTTGGGTTGCGGTTAATTCTTTGCCCACTTGGATCTAACATTGTAGTAAGAACAGCATGGTGAGCTTTGAATGATGGTTGTTTAATAAATATAGTTTTCTTTTTGGCATCCATGTGGATATATATTTTTATCTTTCAGTTTTTGTTCTTTCTTTTCTTTCTTTTTTTCTTTTTTTTTCTTTTTTTTTCAATACTCAAGATGGAAATAATTTTTGGTTCCAAATGTCTATCTAGGATTCCTATCTTGGGTTTTGGATAGCTGCTATGCTATCTATTTTTTCAGCCCTGCTTTCATCATTCGATGCAAAAAGATGGTAGCTATTAACTTGATTTTTTTCCCACTCATGCAGCTGTTCTGTGGGGATTGTTTTACCTGTGTACTCTACATTCAAAGCAATTGAGAGAAAAGATCAAAACGAGGAACAGAAGTGGCTAATGTACTGGGCAGGTTAGAGAATTTCTGTTTCTTAGGTTTCCTTTCTCTTCCTCTTGAAAAAATAGTTATTGGTTCTTAGAAACAAATAAGTAACCGGTGCCTGTTTTTAATCTTTCAACCTACTTTTAAGGCAATCACTATCTTCATTTTATTCTTTCATGAGTGAACTTTTTCCTACTTGTGTCCTATAATAGCTATGCAATTCTAATTTCCATTATGTTCAGTATGTCAGTTCCCTCTCTTTTGAATGTTTACATGAGAATTGAGGTGGGAAGAAACAAATAAGTAGAAACTTACGATTATATTGTGCTTCATGTCTTTCTCTGTGTTGTGGACATGGAATCTTGGTGCACCGCACCCTCTACTTTATGTCTGACATTAATTTGAGCAATCAATCAAAGCAATGCATATCTACCTAGTGCTTATGGTCCATATCTACCCACTATGTGATATTCGATAATTATGTGCTTTTATATTATTTTGTTTTGAGAGATGGTGGTGGTTGGGGACCCGCTTATCTCTTGGCATTATTATCCATGTTTCCTGAGTATCTTGCTATAATTGCAGCATATGGATCCTTCACCCTTGCAGAGGTTTTTGCAGACAAGTTGATCTCTTGGTAAGTTCTGAACCCTGAGTTTTTCGTTCTAAAGTCTAAACCGTCGTTTCTGGTTCTATAGGACTAGTTCTTTATAAACTTGAAAAAGGAAGCATATGGACTTAAAAATACTTCATCTAGGAGCTAAGGGATGCATAGCATGCATGACTTGTATGTCTATTTTTATTTGTTACTTTGATTAGTCCTTGATCATTGTTTATCATTCTCCAGGTTTCCGATGTATTATCACATGAAGTTTGCTTTTCTTGTGTGGCTTCAACTTCCATCTGCCGAAGTATATTTTAATACTGAAGTCCTTAATTCTCCTCAGATAGAACTGAGTTGTTCCTCTGGTTGAATGTCCTTAATTCTGTGTCTCTTATTCATTTTCTTATTGTTTATCTATTATTTCATGCTCACAATACTTCTGATTCATTGCAATCTTGGAGTTGGTTGATGAACTTTATGGATTTGTTTGGTAAAGCTAGATGGTTTGCTTGCTTATAACACGTGCTCTTCTTCTTCTTTTTCTTTCTGCAATATGTTATAGTTGATGCTGTAGATTGTTGCATAATCTGTAATGTGTGTGATCAAGGATTGCATTAGAGTTCGAAATTCTTCCTGCACCATTTTATAAAGGTCAACAAAGTTTATAAATCTAGCTTGTTTATTGGTTATCATTTGTCAGGACCTAGTGATATATTTTCCACAATGGCATCTTGTGGTGCCACAGCTCAATTATATGCCCATGAAGTATATTTGATCTAGACATGGGATGAACTTACATTGAAATTGAAACCCTTACTTTCCAACAGGGGGCTAAGAAATTGTATATGAACCACCTGCGTCCGTTCTTACTGAGGCATCAAGCTAGAGTTGATCGAATCATGGGTTTCACATATGGTGATATGGTATGTCCTCTTTGTTGTTATCAAGTTTTGGGCATTGTAATTTATATGAATCCTTTATCCTTAACTTTGCAGTGCATTCGTGTCTATTTTCCAATTTACTTTTAATATAGTTCAAGACCACTGACTTTTTCCTACCCTGTTTCCCGCAATCAGATCAAATTATTGCATGCAGACTGCATTCTTGTTGCTCTGAGTTTCATCTTATACTTGAAAATGCAAATATTCAGTGGTCTGATTCCTTTCAATTTTGCAGGCCAAACTCATCAGCAATCACCAAGCAGAATTTGAATATGCTAGGAGAGTGCTTTTGAAGATTACGGGATCAGGTTAGATGATGCTGACACATATTTTAGTTTGTTTGTTAGTTAATGCCACCAATCCCCATTCTGGCCAATCCTGAAACTTTATTTGAATCAGCTGGCCAAATGTTAAAGGATGTATCTAATCACCCACAAGGGCATCCTGAAGTCCCTGCCATTGAAGACCAGACAAGAACGATCGTGGATACTGAGTCTGATCATGCTGATTGAAACTCTCTGTTCCCATCATTCAGCTCGATTTCAATTCCTTGATAAATGACTAAGAGCTCTCCTGTCTATAATCGAGGCGGTATCATTCGAATTCTTTATGCCTTCCATCGAAGACTGCTTCATCAACCATTCAGCGGAGGAAAGCCTAGCTTGTACTGCCATCTAATATGTTGCTTATGAGCCAAATTCTTCTACAGGATCACAGAAGTTGTGCATCTACTTGTTTGTATGTAAGAACAAGATCACTAGATTAGCACCTAACCAACAATGTATATAGTTTGACTTTTGTTTTTGATTTTTTATACTTTTGTCAGGTTTTCGATATAACATTTATATATTAAACAATTCAAAACAACACAGTACGATTGCTGCTTGTGCTTATTGTTTTGGTAATTGCTTGAATTAACTCATGCGTTAATAATAAAACAAACTAAAATAAAACGATGGTTTACTGTTTCAAACACTATTTATAGATTCATATTTTACTATTCCTTTCACTATTTATGATTTTTTTAATATTTTGATCCTTGATATTTTTAAATAAATATTTCGATTTATATCTTCATTTGTTCATCCATTTTGATCCTTAGATGCAAAGAGGAGGGAGGGGGAAGAGAGAGACGGGATGAGAAAGAGATCGTCGACTAAGCTTATTTAGGTCACTTTGGTTGGTCAAAATCCATTAGATTTTTTTATCTTTGAAAGATGAGTTTATCCATGGTGGTTTCAAGCTATTAAATAATTAGAAGAGGTAGATTGAAACTAAAAAAAAAACAAAATTCCGATTTTATTGTGTAATTTTTTGTTTTTATGTGTATTAAAATGATTTTTAAGGTTTTAGGTATATTTATTAGCTTTATTCTGATCATTTAGAGGTGTTTAGGAAGAAAAATAATACTAAAATTTAATTTTTAAAGATTTGAAACTTGACCTTTGATTTTTTGCTGAAGCTTCCGACAATCTCGAGTTTATTGGAAGTTTGAGTTGTGTGTGTATGTTTTTTTTTGTTTTTTTTTTTTTTTTTGAGCAGCAGCCCAGGCCTGACGCGCAGGCCCGAGTTGCTCAACGAGGCATGACGCGCTGGTTTTTATTATTTTTCCATCAATTGAAGAGCCCCGTTAGCTGACCTCAAGAAACTAATGGCGTGATGACACGCGTAGTTGCAGGCCCACATCTAAAATAGATTCTAAAATTGAAATTCAAGAAAACAATTTGAAAATGTAAATAAAAATACTAGGAAAAAAAACTGGAATACGTAAATTTTCTCACCTAAAGTAGAATTTGGAATATTTTGACATAAACAAATGAATTGGAAGTATTTCATTGGCTTTATGACAAAAGATGTAATGATGTTGAGGTTTTTGGTTAAATAGATTTTTCATCGCAAATCTTGCACATTTGAATATATATATATATATAAAAATTTAATTTTTCACTTTTTTAAAAAAATTCCCATCCAGTTAATTTAAAATTATATAGTTTTCAAAATTTTTATATAATTTTTTTTTAAAATTTTTAAACTTTAATTGTATTGTCATTTGGTCTCATTTTGTTTTTATGTTTTTTGTTGATTATTTTTATTATTTAAAATCTACAACTTTAATTTGTCATTTTTTTTTCAAATTCTCCTCCAATTAATTTAAAATCAAATTTAATTATAGTTTTTATTTATTTTAATATTATTCATTCTTTTGTAAAAAAATATTTGTTCAATTCTATATAAGCTTTTAGTAATTGTTATTTTTGTTTTTTGACACAATCTTATGAAATACTAAAACTTTTTTCAAAAAAATTATTTAATTTTCTTTTTAGTTAATAATTCATGGATTAACAAGGATAAATCCTTTTTGTAAAGAAAAAAATTATGAAAAACACAAATAAGAAATAGTTAAATACAAAATTGTTAATTAAAAAATTATAAATATTGTTTTTCACTTTTGATTTCATATATTTTTATAGATTCACACCGTAAAATAGACTATCAAACTGAAATGATTTTATACATTTTATCTAACTCGTAACGTAACACGAGCAAAAAATCTAATTCAGTCTAAGAGTCATCTGTAACCAGACTTCTAACTTTGTGCCTGAATCCACCAGCCACTCTGTTAGATACTGATGGTAAGCTTATGAGCCAAATTCTTGAATTAACTTATTGTTCTGGTAATTGCTTATGAGCCAAATTCTTCTTGAACTTGCAATTATGGTAAGCTATCTAGAACCAGATAATGCGTTGTTTTTTGTTGCTTTTTCTTTTTCTTTTTTTTTTTTTTTTTTTAGTGAAATCTTTGTTCCAAATGGTGTTGATCATTCTGTATTGGGTTGTCAAACTTTGTTTGCCAGAAATCCGAGGCCTAATAATGCACAAATTCCAAATTTCCAGACTAACCAAGTAAGCCCACGAGACGTCCCTTAATGCTTGTTTAATAATGCGCAAATTCCAGATTTCCTGAACCAACCAATGTAGTTAAAATCAAGGCTCCTGATGATTTGGTATGAAAAGCAGAAGCCATTTTCCCATTTTTCAGCTTATATTTACCAAAATTATAAGTTAACATTAAGAATTCCTCTAGAAGGAGGGAGGGGGAAGAGAAGGGAAGAAAACGAACCTTTTTAACCACCGAAGTTGGTTGAACTTTTATAATACAACAATGCTCTTGGGCTACATCGAGGTTTCTAGCTCCAGCTAAAATTTTGGAAATAAAATTTTCTATTACAACTAAAGGGTTAAGGGTGTGGATCAGTAAGAAAAACCAAAGTTCTATGCTCGACTAATGGTTGTCATAATATACGGGGAGGAGTTCGAGAAAATATTCTTCCGGGCACCAATTCATGTCTCGGTCTTTACTGTTAACTGTTTCCCTCACCAACGTGAGACTCTGGAACTGAAGCAGGGTTGGTTTGTTCAAGGTTAGCTACTGCTTCTGGTCCATACAACCGAGTCAACTCCTCCTGATATGGCAAAAAACCCACATTTGTTAATTGAGTGCTGTCATGTACTGATTATTTTATGATTAGGAAAACAAACATGGATATTAAGTAACAACGATGAAGATGCCAATGTTGCATGTGCCGATCGCTAAATGAATAAGAAGAACAGAGTTTCAAATAAAAGACCAGGGACTAAAATAAACCTTAATGGAATCGTTTTCAGATTTAAGCTTGTTGCATTCTTCAGAGAGAGACTGCAATTCATCTCTAAGATTGCGATTGTCACTGCTCAAAGTCTCTACCCTGGCTTGTAGCTCCTCACACTCTGCCTGGTAAAGATGAAAAATCAAAGCAATAGATATAAGCATTTTAAAAGGAGATTAGCAAAAGCAAACCTTGCGATAAAATTCAAAAGCAAACGATTCCCAAAATTTACAATTGCTTTGCCACCATAAAAGCAACCGAAAAGGAACCCAGCGCAACTCAGAATCATCCTCCTCACAACTATGAAAAGCCACAACATGTCGAACAACACAAAGAAGCTTTCCTTCTATAATAAGAGAAAGAGAAGGGGTGATGCTCTTAAGGATCATTGGGTCAGGTTAGAGATTTCAAAGTGAGTAAAAAAGTCCCCAAGTGAACTCTTTTTTGAGGCCAATGAAAAGTTAGTGAAATTATTTCAGGACATGTGAAGTACACTACTTAAGGCTGTTGACGCGAGAGTGGGCTTCTATCCATGAATTTCTATTTGATTTAAAAAATCATCCTTCACTAGCAAAATAAACAAACAAAAATTTAATAATAGTTTGGTATAGAACATTTAAATAACCTGTTTTACCACCCCACCTATCACCCCATATCTAAAATAAAAGAAAGGAGATATATGCATCCATTTTGCACTAACAATGGTGAAAAAATAAGCAAAACAAACACTCAAGGACAAGAAAAGGTGAAACTACAACAGTACCTGTTTGCGTAATCTTGACCTTCTGGCTGACTCTCTATTAGATTGTTTCCTCTTCTGTCTTTTCAATTCACGTTCATCCTGTCAGAACCCAAATCTATAATTCAGTGGAAGAAAAAAGAATCCTGATAGCCTAGCAGCTGTACGGACCAAAAAAAAAAAAAAACAGAAGAATATGATCACTAAAAAAATGAAATGCAAACTGCTGAAAGGTCAAACCCATTGATTAGATCATAACAGCAAAATTAATTTGATTGTTACAAAATGAATTTTACGACATGGTCAAAAAACAAAGAATAGCTCAAGAATGACACAAAAATAACCACAGGGGTTTAGGATTTAGGGTTTAACCCATTGTTCAGGCATTCCAGCAGGAACAACTCCAGATGAGGCACCAGATGGATTTGGTCTCATTTTTGCAGCTCCAGCAGCAGCAGGAGAGGCATTCCATAAGTCCATTCCAATGTTTAGATTAGTTCCTGGCACAGGTTTCCCAGGCATAGAAGCTTGGATATTTGCTCCGGCTGAGTTACTTTGTGCATTGGCTGTGAAGAAAGTCAACGTGGTTAAAAAGCTATTACAACAAACAAACAAAAACAGGTACACAAAAAGATGAGAAATGTACCATCTGCGAGCATTTGGTTGAAGCTTCCTTTCTTGCTTGCACCATATCCCTATAATATTAAGGCAGGTATTCATTAAAAAGAATTTAAATCATCAAGTTACCTTGCTTTCTATTGGCTACGCTAGCATACAAAACTGCAGTTCCAAAATATTTAGGTCATCTGAATTTCTACAGCATGGACAAACTGAATAAAACCAGTTTATGGGATAGGCCACAAATGCTTCTACACGATCCTAGTCATTCACACTAAGCAATAAGAGCACACAAAAAGCAAATATGAGAGCACAGGAAAATACCTGCTGGTTAGTATTCTCATCGCTGGCATCAGATGAGCCATCACTACCACTTTCAGCACTGTTCAGTTAGCATGTCAGTCAATATCACAAGAATTGAATGTATAAGCATTTCAAAGGGAAAAATCATCAATAAACTTGAGCTTAATTAACCTTTGGGAGGCACCATCATTCCCAGAACCGGAAGCTGCCTTTCCACTCTCCCCTGCTTTGCCTCCTGAAGTTCCCTTGGCTTTCTTAGCTGAAGCCCGGTCCTTTCCATCAATGACCTTTCCTTCCAACTCTGTATTTGCCTGTGCTGAATTTGGTGTCTGCATGAGATATGGTGAATAAGAAATATCAGATGACCAAGTAACAGGCAGATTTTATAGAATATTTAGAGTGGGAGCTAGTAATGCTTGGCTATGGTACTAGAAGGGAAATCAACACACACACAAAAGAAAAAGTCTTGTAGCAGAAACACTCAATATTACCGGGGTCATGTTTGGATGGGCATACACTCCCCCTGCAGGATATAAAGCCGGATATGGAACTGGGGTTCCGTAAGGTGGGATTAAAGGATGCTGAAAATTGTCATCAGAAAAGAAAATAAGTAGCTTATCTCTCAGATAAGTGAAACCGACATGCCTTTCTCAAACAATAGGAGATATCCACCTGGCTTCCCCAAATATAGGGGTGAGGGGTCGGTGAGGCTACTGTTGAGGCAAAAAAGGGAGGTGGGGTAGCTCCAGCACCATAATAAGCCTAAAAAAGTAGCCAAGTTATGAGCATTTAATGTCATTACTGCAGATATTTATATCAATATATGGATTTTCTAAACATAAACCTGCATAGAATTTGACCAATCGGGATACGAAGGCGTTGTGGGTATTTCCTGTCAGCACAATGATGAGGGATTAGTATACTTGCCAGTATGTGAATCTCTGTACATGTGCGTTTGTGCATTCGTGCACGTGTGTGTCTGTGTGAGAGAGAAAGAGAACATGATTTGACGATGCTGGTTTGGAAGGCTTAGCAGGCGTGCTTTCTTCCCCTGTCCCCATTTAGATCGATGCAGTAATTACCACCAACTTCAACAATTTTATGTTTGGATCTAGCGTATCCTGAACAATATCTACGAAGCACCTGCCAACATCATACCAGATTACAACACATATCAGAAATTGCATGCAATTATTGTGAAATTAATTGTCAGTTTCATACATGGAAGTAATTATCTTAGTAATCTTCCACATGGAGCTGGTCATGGAGTTCTTACATCACAAGCAAAAAAATATAGCTATAGTCTTTAATGACTTGGAACTAGCCAAGCATCCTTAGCTAAAATGCTTATTACTAGTAGCTTGCTACCTCTCTTGGGGTAAAGAAAACAGTGTTACTTGTGCGATTAAAAAATTATGCCACCAATAGCTTACCCACATATCATGCATTTCCCATGACATTTTGGTGAAAAAAAAAAAAAAAAAAAAAAAAAATCAATTCTCACAGGATTCACCCTTGATAAAAGAATGATGACAGCAATTAAGCTGCAAAAAAAGCGTCGAGAAGAGTGGGAAAAAACAAAACAAAATTTTAATATCCTGAATTACAAAACAACTCAACAAAGCCATAAATCCCAACCATGCATGCCATGCCTACAAGACTTTGTAGGTGAACGTTCGCTTTCAAAGTAATAATCATTCACTTCAAAATTGCATGTGTGTACCTGCTATTCTAAGCTTCACAAACATCAAAGTAGCTACCATTTTTGCTCGTCAAATGAATATCTGTCATTACCTCAATCAAACTAACCCAAAATGCAATTAAACCTTCCCAAGGAAATTACACTACATTAACCTCCTCAAAAATATTATTTGCTAAATTAAAATACTCTATGACAGGAGATAAAGGTTGCTGCCTTTATCGATGCCAGTTGGTAGCGGGAGCATGCATGCTCTCAAGCTGCCATTTACTGGATTGAGAATGGACCCATCCCAAATCTGGAGATTATACTCTCCCAAAGCTGAAAAATTGGCACGTTAAATGATAATTGACGAAGTCGGGGAAATATTTGAACTTTCTCCGATTTCAAGAACGCACCAAGCACCGAAATGGAGTGGTTTATTGTTAGGTTAAATAAATAATAATTAAAAAAAAACTGCAAATAGTCCAGTTTGATTTATACCCTTCTAATTATAGGCTAAAATCTGCATAAATCATCGGTGTTCTCAAGACCATCCTCCTCCTCAGCATTGTAGTCCCATAGACTGTATCTAGAAGAAAATTGATAGTTCTGCTAATAGACTCTCCTACAAACACATGAACAAATAACCAGCGACTTATAATTTATTACTTCATATGTCATTTGTTTCTGTAGGTGAATCTATTATGATGGCTTATTATGAGAAAATAGCGCTGTTCTATTTAGAACGATCCCCACTCTCTCACACGACCTAACTGTTATCGTGACATGATTAAAATCCAAAGCTGACACCTGCCCTCTAACTATACTAAAACAAAATCCATAAATCCATGCCAGCCACTTGTTGATAGTTTCCTGTATCCTCTCTTTCTGTCAAACCTAATTAGAATCAGATCTTTACTCTCTGATTTGAGTAAAATAAAGCTGTACCAAAGCTAAGTTTCTTTAAATAGACCAGTAGCAAGCATCCCAAACCTACCCTACCTCACACTGAATCTCTAAAAAATGTAAGCTAATGACTAGAATATACTCTCATCTAAACACATAGCCTAAAATTTCAAGCTCAAAGCATAAATATCCAAAGTTAAAACTACAAGAAGCTTAGGTAAGTACAATAAGAGAAAGTTATCAGAACTAGGTAGTTTCTAATAATAGCAACCTTAAAACTGAAGACGAGAAAAGACCCAATTCATGAAAACATAAGGAAAACACAAAAATAAATTCGAAGGAGAAAACTTTATCACAAACAGCAAAAACAAACCAAACCCCACTAATACATACCATAAAACAGAACTCTATATAGATCCCGTAAACAAGATAAATTAAACAAAACACGAAGGAAAAGAAACTAGTACATGCATATGAAAATAGTGAAATTTTTAGAGAGAGAGAGAGAGAGAGAGAGAGGAGAGGAGTACCTGGTTTCGTGGCTTGAAGAGAGAGGGAGAAAAAGAGTGAGGTGGAAGTCCAAGTTGGATAGCAAAACCTCCTGTTCTAGTAAAAAAGACCTGCCCTTTTTATTGTCTTCTTTTTAAAGATCAACGGCTGAGATTAAGAGTTAGAGATACTTAAACAGACACAGAGACAACTAGAAAGAATAAGCACAGACCCTCTTGGGCTGCTATGCTCAGTTTCACTTGTCCAAAAAACAGTTTGTCGTTAGAACCTTCAGAAGTTTTGAGGATTTTTCGGTCTAAAAAGAAACAATAGAGAGAAAAATGCGGGTGATGATGTGGGGTTAATGGTATATTTGATTCCCTTACTATCTATTAGCTTTTGATTTGGTCCTTAACTCATTTTTTTCTTATCCCCAATCATTCTTCTACTTTCTATTTCGGTAACTATTTTTGGTCTAAAAAGATTAAACATTTTTTGAATTACATGAAAGAGTTAAACCTTTCTTAGTTTGTAAATTTTTCATTTGGCTCTTCTGAAAGTGCGATATGGAATAGCAAAATCCTATATTTAAGAGTCAGACATAAACTTCTAATTCTATATTTATTAATTTTTTTATTAAAAAAATGATAAGTAATAAATTAATATGTTTTTATATAATACTCAAAAAAACTTATTTTCCATTAAGTTTTTAATTATATTTCATCTATTCTTAAAAACTTTTGAAATATCAATTTGAAATGTAAATAATAATAATAATAAAATTTTAAAAATAAAATCTATAGGTTGTGTAACTCTAAGTGTTTTTTTCTTACATTTTAATAAAGGATAGTTTGGTCAAAATTTTTGTCTATAATTAAAAAAAAAAACAAATTGAATATTTTAAAAAATTAAAAATAAGTTTGATGCAATTAGAAAAAAAAAAGAATAAAAGAATTTAGTTATTTTATAAAAATAGATTGATCTATTAGTCAAAACATGGCATTACATCTTGTTGTTAAGTAAAATAACATATAATGGTATTGGATCTAATACTCTTGAAATAGGGAGTGCGGAGACAAGAAATTTAGTAAGGGAACTAAATTAATAAAAAATAAATATTTGAGGGACCAAATGTATCATTAACGGGATGATGTGGTTGGGGGCGGTGATTAGTAGGAGAGTAGTAGGAGAGTATCGCGAAAGGTATTGATGTTAGGGATTCAAGGGGTGACACGTGCGAGAAAAAGGAATCCAGCTGTCCATGTTTTACTGGATTAGGTGTTTTTATTAATGATGGATGGATTTTTCTGTGTATGACTCATCATTGACAGATACGTTATGTCTTATGGATAACGTTAATAAATTAATTTACCTGATCAAGTGGAAAACAAATACTACGACTCTTAACTACCAGTAACAACTTCATTAACATTAATTAAAAACAGCTAAAATACAACATTAACAAGCCCAGCATGATGCAGTCCTGGGCTTTTGCTAACTCTATTTACTTGCTTCACAGGTTATATGTGACTTGTAATTTCTTGCTTTTTTTTATTATTTTTTTCGGAGATATATATATCGGTATCATGAACAAAATATATCTTGCAAGGAATTAAAATTGTTTATGTATCTTACATTTTGTATATCAAAATAAATGTAATTTTATCAATAAATTATTAGTTTAATAATAAACGAACAGGTATGGTGATGAATTTTTGTCAATAAATAAAATAAATTCAAACGGTAAGAATGTATTTATTGAAAAGGGTTATTAATTAATAGAAATTATAAATATGTTATGAAAGTAAGAAAAGTGACAATTATATGTAATGAATGTGTTGGATAATTTTTTTGTCAGGGCAGTATTCTAGGATCCTACGAGCCTATATGTAATGAAGAGGATATATATATATATATATATATATATATATATATAATGGGGTATTTTTTTTGGTCTTGGTATTTGCAATATATTTGAACTGACCTTTTGCAAAGGATTTGAGGGAAAAACTGAAGATTCAATGCATAAAAAAAAATAAAAAATAAAAAATAAAAAAAAAAAAAAAACCCATGGAAAACATTGATTTGGTATAACAACTTCTTTTCTTTCCTTTTGTTTAGCTTTGCTTTTTATTTTTTTATTTTTTATTTTTATAAACCAATAGAATGCATTAAACTCTAAGCCGAAAGTTTAGAGAAAAGGTAAAACAAAAAGGTAACGTAGAAAGCCACCACAACACAATACAAAACAAAACTGGTAGCCATGCTAGAGATAAACTCATGCAATAGCTACGAATATGTAAAGAAAAAGAAGCAGAAGTAGAAAACATCCAAACTAAATAAGACACATTCTAGCATGGCCCAAGATTTCTTTGGTCATATATACTTCTTTGATTTCATTTTAGTCTTTGTAGACTAAATTCTTCTATATAATATTCATAAAAACAATAACAAAGTTTAGTTGTCATTGCTTAATGTTGTAAAGCTATTTATGTCAAAGGGCAAATCAATTATTGTTTATAAGAAAAATCCAAGTTTCCTTATAACGCAAAACATGACCCTACAATGCCACAAGATTGTTCAGATTAGCTATCATTAAAACAATTCAGGAAACATGATGAAAAACTCCTGCGCTTTCTAGGCTTCTCCTCGGACTTCTTCGCCATTATATGATTATGATCATTACTTGTGAGTTCTTGACCTATGCTGCTTTCAGGCTCTTCAATTTGCATCAGCTTTGGAGGTGTCATTGGTTTTGGCAAAAGGCTTTGATGGAAGTTGGTAAGATACTCTGTAATTTGTTTGAACTCTGGTCGTATATTCGGATCCTCTGCCCAACAAGATTGCAAGAAAGGGGCTATATCCTTCGGAATATTCTCCAAGCTAGGCCTTTCATTCTGAAAATACAGCAATAGTAATTACATCTTAAATGTCTAAACATTAAGTTCACGTGAAACTTAAGATTAAGAATGGAGTAACCATTCAAAAAAACATGCTGGAAATTTCTAATGTTATATTATATGAAGATTACAAGAAGTTTGAAAAAATAATACCATAAAAAAGATCAATCACTTATAAGCACTAGCTAATATGGAGAGAGGATTTAGACAACGTACATTCGCTACTGCTGCATACGCTACACTTATGCTATCTTTTCCTTTGAATAGAGCTTCATTTGTGAGCAACTCCCATAGAACCATTGAGAAGCTATACACATCCACTTTGTGGTTATAATATTTCTTCACTCCAATTTGAAGTGCCTCTTTGCTGAATAACTAATGCACATAACAGGTAAAATCAGACATGGTAATGACATTATGGAAGATAAAACTAAAAACAAGTACAATACCTCGGGTGCCATCCACCGATAAGTGCCACACTCACAAGTCATGTCACCCATTATCCTCTCTCTAGCTAGCCCAAAGTCGCCCACCTTAACATGCTTCTGATCTTCAGTGAGAAGTAGATTACCTATCACCCATTGACGATTTCAATAATTCCAACGAGTTAAAAGATAATTACAGGAATTAATTAATACACAAAATCAAACACAATAGAATTTGAATCACTTTATAGTTGAAATTGAAATGGTTCAAGTTATGGAAGAGCCTTAATTATTTTATATGCCTTGAGCTTCAGATTGCATCCTACATGATCCAGACATATATATACATATATTTTAGTTCACAAATAAAATTGGTTTTCGATTAATTATTTAGGCATAAATAGATAGTTTCATCTATGTTGTGCGCAACAAAATAAAGAGCAAAATGCTAACTATAAGATGAAATTTTATCCAAACCAAAAGAAAGTTTTACGTTTGAACATTTCATAACGAATGGAGCATATTAAGATGAGATAAAGAGATAGATTACTGGGTTTTAAGTCCCGGTGAATGATGCCATTGTCATGCAAGTACTCCATAGCTCGAGAAATATCCAACGCAAAACTTATGGAAAGTCTTAAATCCAGATGCTTTCGACGGATGCTCCATAAATACTTTTGTAGCGTATCACCTCTCATAAGTTCGGTAATTAAGAACATAATTGGTTCAACAGAAGCACCGATCAGCTACTTGAGCAAAAAAATATATATATAATTAGAAGCATGAAGATTATCGATCAGGAAATGAGATTCCAGGAAACTCTCTGAAGAAACAGTTTCTATTATATATTACCATATTGCACGAACAAAATTTTCCATTGATTGATATTTCCTAGTTGATAAGCAACTCATAGGATGAATAGCATTAATCATAACCACAGTTATCTTCAAACATCAAAATGCATTATAAGCAAAAAAAGGTTTGTGCAAAATAAAATTTTAGTACATAATTTTTGTCTGCCTATTATTACTCTTTATGATGCGATGATATAAATATATAAAAATAGAAAGATAAACCTTTATGTTAGTATTGGAAAGCATAACTTGTGCTGGATAGTGAAAAACCTAGATCAAATTAATGTGTATATCATCCTCTAAATAGAGATATTATGGCATCTCTATGTCATCAAACAAAAACTTCAATTCAATTTTACAGAAAAAAAAAGACATAATAAAAAAATCAAGTGAATAGATGTGAAATATAAATAACAAATAAGGTATAAAAAATCAAATCATGCATCCAATAGAGGTATCATATTTAACAACGAAAACATTAAAATACCTTTACGACATTTTCATGGTGCATCCTGGCTTGTATCATAACCTCTCTCTGAAACTTCTTCTTGTGTTTTAAAATCACATTTGATGTTTTCAATGGTTGTATTAACTTCACAGCAACGGGCTCGGATTCAAGTCTAGAAAAATAGCCCAATAAATGTTAGCATTATTAACTCTATGTAACAATTTCTTCAATCATATGATGAAATAAAAGTTTTTCTAGTTGTTCACAAGAATAAAATGATTATATAGAAAAAAAAATTAACACACTTTTAAGTCATTAATACCTTTAAGAAAAAAAAAATTATGAAAGAAATATTTATATACATTTTTAATTAACGTCTTAATTTTTGTCATATGTCATTGCAACATGGAATAGCAAGAAGAAAATCCTTACAAGAAAATAAGAATGCAATTATCTATTATCCTTCATTACTAAAAGATCCAAACGATTTGGCATCCATAAAAAATCACATTTCAAATAGTGCTTAGATGTAACATCTATTGCCACGCATTATGTTGATATTTTGATATCTACAACCTTAAATATGTTGTTGTGAACTTTCCTTGTATTTTTGTTATGTGTTTTAAAAAATATATATGTTATCCATACTAATGATATGACTACTCTCATTACACAAAAAGAAATTTTATTTTTTAGATTTATCAATTTCAATCAGAGAATTTATCTATAATGGCTAACTCATATTCAATAATTCCTTCTTTTCACCACTCATTCATACCAACATTCTTACTCATAATGACCATTTAAATACCAGCATAAAACTACTTTAAACACACATGCATATGCACAAATACAAGCATAAAACAAATTTAAAGTGCAAACATTTATCACTTCAGTAAGATACTCTTCCATTCCTAATGAGGCTATATATATATTTTTTCAATGTAGGTATTAAGTAATGTCTTATGTATTACATTGAGAAAAATAAAAATAGCCTTTTTATTTAGCCATTTGTGGTTGGTGTGCCAATTACCATATTTTTTTAAAAAGAAAATAAGTAAATAACAATATTGATTACTAGAATAATTATAAATTTGAATTCCTGTTTTTCAAGTTTTGAATAGTCAAAGCTGAATAAATATAATGCAAAATCCTCTTTATGAAAATAGATACACCTACCATGTATAAGCTTTTAGTTTATTATTTAGCCATTTTAGCCATTTGTGTGTAGATTTTCAAGAATCAGCTAGATTTTTTTTTCCTATTTAATATCAAATCTAAGGATTAGGGAATCACCTAATCCAAATATATTTTCAATTGTCTTTACTTTTGATAGACATATGATAAGGATGATTGCATTGTGGATGTAGCCAAATGTTGTTGTAACTTAGACTATAAATCACTCCTTTTAAAATACACTTTGCTTTCTTATTGAATTTCTATTATGTATTCGTAGAAAAATTATGTGCATCTTCAGTTGTGACAATATAACAAAATCCTTTCTATCAACCAAAAAACTCTCAAACAAACTAAAAACTCTCAATGCTAGCAGAAAAAATTTCAATACCTTCCTCTATGATAGAAGAACCTTTAATGTTAAATTATCTACGTGAAATTTATGCATTATAAACAAATGTGATGAAAGCCTCAACAACTAGCTGCCAATTACATTATCTTGATCGAAATGATTTCTTTACATATATAGTAAGTATGTTCATGTAATCGATCTAAATTATGATCACGTAACATATTTTTCAAGCTATACACATGAACTTTCATGAATATAGTAATAATAATATGCGTAGACTAATTAAGTTTGACAAAAAAATATTAAAATGATCAATTATATAAAGAAATAAAAGTTTTTCTAGCTTTTCACAAGAATAAAATAATTATATACAAATAAAAAAAAATCACCACGCTTTTAAGTGATTAATACCTTTAAGAGAAAAAAAATTGTGAAAGAAATATATATATTAATGTCTTAATTTTTGTCATGTGTCATTATAATTGCAATGAGGAATAACGAGAAGAAGATCCTTACAAGAAAATAAGAATGCAATCATCTATTATCCTTCGTTACTTAAAGATCCAAGCGATTTGGCATGGTTAAAAAAATCCCACTTCAAATAATGCTTCGATGTAACATCTATTGCTGCATGCTATGTTGGTATTTTGATATCTACAACCTTAAATAGGTTGTTATGAACTTTCCTCATATTTTTGCTATGTGTTTAAAAAATATATATGTTATCCTTACTAGCTAATGATATGACTATTCTCGTTACACAAAAAGAAATTTTATTTTTTAGAATTTCAATCAGAGAACTTATCTATAATTGCTAACTCATATTCAATTATTCCTTCTTTTCACCTCTCATCTATACCAACATTTTTACTCACGATGACCATTGAAATACCAACATAAAACTATTTTAAACACACAAACATGCGTGCATAAATATAAGCATAAAACTACTTTAAAGTGTAATAATACATGTTACAAAGTCTTTTACTCCAAACATTTCTTAATTAATTGAGATACTTTCGGTCATGATAAAAATAAACATCTATTTTTTGGATGGAGGTATTAAGTAATGCCTAATGTATTACATTGAATTTTTTTAAAAAAAAAAAGCTTTTTTTAGCAATGTGATTGGTGTGCTAATTACTATATTTTTAAAAGAAAATAAGTATATAATAATATTGATGACTAAATTAATTATAAATTTAACATCCTATTTTTTTAATTTTTGAATAGTCAAAGGTTGGCAAAATCCTCCTTATGAAAATAGATACACCTGCTATGTATAAGCTTTTACTTTATTATTTAACCATTTATGTGTAGATTTTCAAGAATCAACTAGATTTTTTGTATTTAATATCAAATCTAAGGATTAGGCAACTGCCTAATCCAAATATATTTTCAATTGTCTCTACTTTTGATAGACATGTGCTAAGTATGAATTCACTATGGGTATAACCAAGTGGTGTTGTAACTTAGAATAAATCACTCTTTTTAAAGCACAATTTGCATTCTTATTGAATTTCTGCTATGCATATGTAGAAAAATTATGTGCATTTTCAGTTGCAACAATACACCAAAATCCTTTCTATGAACCAAAAAACTCTTAACCAAACTAAAAACTCTCTCTCAATGCTAGACAAGCAGAAAAATTTTCAATACCTTCCTACTCCGTGATAGAAGAACCTTTATGGTTAAAATTATCTACTTGAAATTTATGCATTATAAACGGATGTGATGAAAGCCTCAACTACTAGCTACCAGTTACATTATCTTGATCAAAATGATGTCTTTACATATATATATCGGGTATGTTCACATAATCGATCTAAATTATGATAACGTAACATATTTTTCAAGATGTACACATGCATACACATTCATACATATAGTAATAATAATAATATGTATAAACTAATTAAGTTTGACAAACATATATTAAAATGATAATCATATAATGATTCAAACAACCAATAGGACTACACTTTTCTTCTAGATAACTTCATTGCTAGAAAATCTTTTTTCATAATATAAAGCCATCATAGGAATACAAAAATGCAATTTGATAACCCTTGAATCCTATATTAGATCTCTTCCCCCTAAAAAAAAAAAACAAACAAAAAACAAAAAAACAAGATATATCATTCTTAAGAAATGAAAATTGCATCCTAAACTCACATTTATAATTTCTTCACCGTAAAAATTACCCTTAGTTCCAACTTCCAAGTAAAAGAAAAATTTTAAATTCCAATAATAATTTTATCTAGCACAATACTCACTCTAACCAAGCAAAACATTCTCAAACATCATCACCTCCCACATCCCAAATTTCTATTCCATTCCAATTCCAATTCTATGTACTAAAAAAAACATCTTTTACTATGAAATAATAAAAACTAATAATCCAAATTAAGAGCACAAAAAGAAACACTATACATCAAAAGAAGAGAATAAATAAAAACACACACTAAATTATGCACCATATGGTTAAAGAAAAAAAAAGAAAAAAGACTTACAAGTCCTTCATAGACCAAAGAGTAAGATCCTTCTCCAATCACTTTACGAATATAGACACAACTAGGTTCAATGAGCAAGTTTCTATCAATATTGAAAACAAAATTGTTTTTGTTTTCTAAGCCATTCTTCTCATCATCCTCTTCATACATTGTTACACCTTTCTCTTATCTAGCTTTTTGGCTTTGCAATAATAACAAGAAAAACAAAATGGATCTTTCTCTTTCACTTTCTTTGGGAGAACTTTGTTGTTTTGTGTTTATGTGTGCTTAAAAATGGAGAATGTAAAGAGAAAACCATAAGGAAAAATAAGGGAAGTTTTTAGTTTGGGAAGTTCATTAAGTACTTGCTTAATTAGAGAATTAAGTGGGTTTTGCTTATGGTGAATATAGGTGCATATTAAGGAGGCTTTTCCATGACGTGGCATTTCATAATTGGATGTGTAAGGATGAAATTGGTAGAATTGGGTTTATGATTGGTTGATTCTAAAGAGATTATGGAGGTGAATAGAATGGATTTCTATAATAATGGGATTTGTTTGTAGTGTGAGTGAATGAAACGGTATGTGCCAATTAAGAATTTGGTTGTGGTGAATTTAATTTCCATATATGACTCATTGTCATTTCTTAAATAGTTTATCTAACGAGCTTTGATTCTTTTGCAAATATCTAAGGAATTTATTAAAAAGAATTTGTTTAGATCTAATAATCATTTCAACCCAAAAGCTTAAGTTTTTAGATAAGACTCTAGAAATAATTTTTATTATTATCTAATATACATCATCAAGTGAAAAAATTTTAGGATTAAAACTTGCACATGTACCACTACCTTGTGCTTCATTATTTAATTAGAAGAGAAAGTAAAAGTAGTGAGATTCGAACTCTTAACTGTTTTGTCGTCAAATCTCTAATACTATGTCAAAAAAATCATTTCGAGTCAAAAGTTTAATCTGTTTGAGTAAGATTTTAAAAATAGTTTTATATTACTTTTTAATATGGATTGATTGCATGGAAAAGTATTATCAATTGTCATGACAAATAGCATATAATATCAATATTTCTTAAGAACTATATTTAATTTGTTTTTAGAATTTCAGTTGTGAAAACCACCCCTTATTCCTCATAGTATCTTGATGAAAAATGTTAAGAGTTACCAGCTTTAGCAATTGTTAAAGAGTAACATAAAATTATTATTGGGACCACACCCAAAAGTTAACATGATTCTTTGACTTGGCATCAAAATCTTGATAACAAAACGGCCACAGGTTCCAATCTCATCACCCTACTTTCTTTTCTAATTAAAAATAATTAAGTATAAAATAATATGAGCCGAGTATAAATTTCAAGATTCACCTAATAACTTAAAGTTTTGGACTAAGAAGGTTATTTGATAATAATTAAGTAATACTTTTACGTTAATTCACACGTGTCAATAATTTTTTTTTGCTTTTTTTCATTAAAAAAATAAAATTAAAAGAAAATGCATTTTCTTGTCATAATATTTTTATTTTTTTTCTAATTACTGTAAGAGTTACGTTTTAATTATAAAGTTGTCAATTAGTTAAAAGGTTTCTTCAAATTGCTGGTGAGTCTTAATATCAAGCACATAAATTCTTACATCCTACATATTCTCTAATAAGTCCTTGTGTCATTTTATATGATAAAGTATGATGAAAGGCCCTTCAGAAAGGCCCTTCAACATAAAAAGTCTTTAAAAATTAATTTCGAGAGATAAAAAAGTTTTTTTAAAAAATATAAATTCATACAAGAACTCTTTTTTTTTTTAAAAAAAAAAGCGTAAATCAATGCTACACTTATTAATTAATATAAAAACGTTAAGCAAAAAATAAAAATAAAAATGAAGGATCCCTAAAATCCTAATTATATATACCATACGCAAGTCAAATCATTGACTATGAATATTTCTTATGTGTTGGAATCAATTAACCGTTCAGTCAATATTTCAATACCTTTTAATTTCTTTTTTTTTCCTGACACTAAATTCATTAAATATTTTTTTAAAAAAATAAGTGATAAAAAGATAGTGATACATCATTGACTTAAAGAATGAAATTTCTTAACTTCTCAAACAAAAATCTCATAATTTTCATTTTAAATAAATCAGATCCTTAATTTTCTAGTTTTCCTTTCTATTCGATGATGTGCGAGATTTTGGTATCCATGTTTATTGTATAAGATATTCAGCTTTATTGAAAAGGTTGGAAAAATGATGGTAATGTCCTTTAAAATCTTATAAGTATAGAGTACAAACATCGATATTAGTGATACAAAAAGTGCTTCACAATATTACTCTGATGATGAAGCCAGTATTTTTGAGATATATATGCAATGTAGATATGAGATAACAGAGAGAAGCTAATTTTATCTGAAATTATATATATATATATTGAAGTAAGTCGTTTTATATAATAAAAAATATGGAATGTAAAATGTTCTTTCAGTGTGTTGGATCGGATGGATATGAAACTATAAAAAAGCCCATAATTATTTTTTAAAAAGCCCAACTTTAATGAATTTTTTGTGAAAAATCCAAATCTCATGCCTCACCACTGTTATTTTTGCAATATCGCTTGTTGCCTCATTCCTTAGAAGGTTCATTAATATTTCTTCCCTCCGGACTATAAGAAAATTGAAAAATAACAATGGATTTTAACAATGAAAATAAATCAATCACTAAATAGCAATCGAATAGCATATGTGAGATTTATATTAGTAAATGATTTCTTTTATATTAATATAGAATTTAATCAATTTAAATAAAACCCAATCAACAAAATGATTTTAAAATTTGATGAGGCGTAATACCTCGAAGAAAGCAATGGATTTTATTTTTTAACAAGTCGCATGTAATTCCAGAAATCGATATATGCAAAGAGGCAACTGCTGCTGCTGCCACACAAAAAAAAAAAAAAAAAAAAAAAAAAAAAAATCCAACTCACTAATAAATCTCCTTTAAAACTCTTAACCAAGAAACACGGTTAAGACCTTTTTTTTTTTTTTTTACCATTGGACAGTTTTATATGAGATGTTATAATACATGTACTGTGAAATAGTTGAGGAAAATAGAGGAAATTAAAACTGAAGGAGAGTAAAACTCCAAAAAAACAAAATGCTAAACATTAAGAAAAAAAAAACAATAAAAATCTTTAAGAGGATTAAGAGCCATTTTATGCATTAATCTTTCAATATCTAATCTATTTGTGTCATAATTATTTTTAATTGATAGTTAGTCAAAAAATTCTTTTGAAAGAATGTTTGGTTTCATTGTATTTGCTTAGTTACTTTATGCCATCATTTCACCTTTTATACAAGGAAAAATCCTTTTACCACAATAAAACTTTATTCTTACTTTTATAATTTAATTACTAATATGGTCTATAAAACTGCAGTCTATGGTTAACAATCATGCACATAACCATTAGGTTCACGTTACTTGTTCGTGGGACAACAAAGTTATATTAGTTTAACAAGAACTAATTAAATTGAATTTTTTTTTTTTTTTTTTAACAAAATAAGAAACAACTCTAATCTTTTTGTACGATGAGGCATCTTTTTTAACTCAAACCATTTAAAAAAAAAATTAAGGATTTTCAAACTATAATCAATTTTTATATTGTTAATTTATGTACTTATTTGTTCACAATTAGCAGTTTTAAATTAATTACTCTACATAAATATCAACTTTATTAGATTAATTATATTATCTGTTTACACACACACTCTTACATATTTTCATTTTAATTACTTTCCATGCAATACAACTGTGATCGTTACGTAATATTCACAACCTCCTACTACACCACAATTGCTTTTGTATTTGTGACTAAAATTAATATAATTATAATTTTAGATCATGTGTATTACTGATAGAATGGCCTGTAAGTAGAATTAGATTGAAATACTATTGTTTTTCATGATACGAAAACATTCTAAATAGAAAATTTGTTTTTCAAGTTTTCTTTCACTTATTTCTTCCATTGTATGTGATAGTGTTGGAGAAGATAACTCCTAATTTCCAAAAAAAAAAAAAATAGAAACAAGAAACTATTTTGTTACTAAATGCCCTGGTTCTCACCCTGAGAAACTTTGTTAGAATAGTATCGAAAGGCAAACAGTGTAGTTGGTGGGCTTGATGGGAAAAATGGGAAATGTGATGGGCATGCAGGCCGCTGGAGACAAGGCTTTCTAGTGTTGAGGACAATCCAACCGATAGAGATAGATGGTCTTATTCTATCATATTATTAGATGACTTATCCTTTCACAACCAGTTTATAATTACCTCTTAGTTACGTTTGGTAAGTCTTAAAAAAGCATGCTTTTTATTTTTTATCCAAACACAGCATCATTAAACAAAAATTTAGAGAAACCAAAAACTGTATTCTGAAAGTCAAATGGTGATATGGTACTGTGGTTGATGATTGGACTCTTAAGGTGGCTTTTGCCTCTCTTGGATTGGTGGTTCGCTGGTTGCTACTTATTTGGTGAAATATGCTTTTTCGATCAAAATGTCTAGCATGAGAAAAAAGAGAAAAAAACGAACAATTTCTGGCTAGACAAAGACACCTCATGCATGCTACACTAGATAAACAAGATTTTTACATTAGATTGTTACTTAATCCTATCTACACCCTAATATTAATATCAGTTACGTAGCTAGCTAGTTACACATACAGATTAATCCATTCCATGCCAGGAATATAACTGTTTTCTGGTGGTATGTAGAAAGCATCTTCATATCCTTCCATTGCAAATTCTCCAAGAAAAGGAGGGTCCCTGGCCATTGACAAGGATGAACTAGGACTGTTAGTGGAAACCCCATCAACACGGTCTGATGATAGCCTTTGGATCTCCTTTTCTGCTTCAGAGAGTTGTCCCTTCAGCTTTAAAACCTGAAACGAACCCATGATTTAGTAAATAATTAATTTTGGAGAAATTAAAAACAATAACAAAAACAAAAAGTGATGTATGTGAGAAATTTTGACATATTAATATTTGTCTAATCAAAGCTTGCAAGGACAATGGCGTGCCATTTTCAAAGTGGGAATGTGCCACGTGCTGGTGTGGTAGTGGCTTTGAAGGGCCCAATACTAGTTAACCTTAAAAAAATGTTGTACGGACACATGGTTTCTTGTGGATTGAAACACATTTGTAGCAGAGGAGTATTTTGTAGTCAAATAGAGTGGCAGTATGCTGTTCCTTATCAAAATTTTGCTCCACTTTTATGATGATTTTTTCTCTGTAACCTAATCCAATAAGCTGGCATGTCATGGCTATTCCTTCAAGCCTAGAGCTCATGCACGTTCAAAAATGGTGGGACACCATCTCTTATTGTAGTATAAAAGATTAGGCAGGATATAATCTTATTTTTTTGTTTTTCTTCCAAGAAAGTCAGTAATGGGAGTCATAAATTTCGGAATCAAGCAGCACTATCTTATTGTCAAAGACAAAAAAATAGTATTATACGTAGTTACATGTTGAGTAAGGAAGTAAAAGTATGTGGCAACTGGAGAAAAGCATTACACATTATTGTTATTTACTTTCTCTTTGGAAAACTATTCTGCCTTATCCAAGAAACAAATCAAACCAGAAGGACAAAAATAGCATGCCAAAGAGAAGACATTCAAGAAATTCCAAATAATGAGTTCCTGGACTAGTAGAATCTTGTCTGCAGGGAGTCCTAATTTTATCATTTTGCATGAAAAAAAAAAAAAATCGACTACGTGAGTATACTTTTATTTTCTTGGGTATTATAACTAAGACATACAAGTCTACTTGGCCGTAAATCAACTCAACTTCGTCATGTAGATTAGTTTCACCAAGGTGAGCGTTTCATTTCTGACAAACTTAAGAAAACTGTAAAATATAAGACTTTGATGGATCAAGCAATTAGCTAGCTATACTCAATTACTTCATTGGTGTAATAAAAAAGAATGGAATAATCCAAATTACTAAGCCCTACTAACTAATAAAGTACTTAGAGACAATTTTTTTTAACACAGAGAGAGAGAGAGAGAGAGAGAGAGAGAGAGAGAGAGAGAGAGAGAGAGAGAGAGAGAGAGAGAGAGAGAGAGATGGACCTCGGATTCAAGCTTGCATTTTTCGACTACCATGCTCTCATGTGCTGTCTTCAACTTTGTGTACTCCTCCTCCAGCTTCTTGTTCTTCCACCTTGCCCTTCGGTTTTGAAACCAAACGGCAACTTGGCGAGGATCAAGTCCCAGTTCTAAAGCGAGCTTATCTTTTCTCTCAGATTCCAACTTATGTTCATTACCAAAATTCATTTCGAGGAGATTAACTTGCTCCTCACTAAGTTTCCTTTTCTTTGCCCCAATAATATCAGCTTCTGCTTTGTTCTTCTTTCGCCTTCGTCGTCGTTTAGATTCACCTAAACACGATGAAAAGCTCATGTGTCAAGTCAACATCATGAATTACTTATTCACAAGTTCATGATCAACACAAAAGAAATCTTTTTTTTTTTTTTTTATTACTAACCTTGTTGTGGAACTATTTGAGTGTAGACACCGGGGTACAACTGAGAGATGAGTGCCAAGTGATCTTCAACCTTGTGATTCATGGTGGTTGTCCTTCCTACCGTTTCTCACTCTCTCTTTCTCCCTTTATCTCTTATCTCACTCAAGATAATTAAGATGGTGTTCTCGGTGTTGGAGTGGACAGCCTAGAGAAACATGAAGGTTCATTTTATAAAGGTTGAGTAGGACTGAAGTGGTTGTTTGTCAAAACGGACTTTTTTGAAACTAAGGTGTTGAGAAGGACTTTAATATCCATGGAAATACCAACAATGCCATTCATTCACCTTGACCAAAATATGGGTAACGGTGAAAGTGTCAACATCCCTCTAAATGTCCTCCTTCTCCCTTTTCGTTTCCCATTTTTTCGCCAGTAAAAATGTCTGAGGAAAGCGAATCAAGTTACGACAAGATTCTCCACTCCCTGACATGCTTCTCCAATAACATTTTATTACTATTTTTTATTTTCTTTTTTTGCGGTACAAGCTTCTCCAACAACAACAAACATGGAAAGAGAGGATGGAGAGATACATGGAAGTGATCACAACAACACAACGACCATAAGTTTATTTTTCAAGGGATTAAAGGTTAAAGATGTCTTTCTATTATTTCAATTGTTTTAATCGTATCACTCTACTAAATTTTTCAATAATGGTGTTCCTCTACTCTTAATTTGCGTTTACATTTAATACCTCCTATCATTTTTTTAAGCAAAAGAGACAATTTTCGACTTAAGAGTAACAGGATGATAACACGTGGTATTCATTTTTTTCCCTTTCAATTTCTAATACCAATAAAAAATTAAATGAATTAAAAAGAAAAACCCCAAATTACCCCATTTGGAAAACCTTTATCTTCATCTCTATGTTCCCCGTGGTCTAATTTTTCCTAAATCTCCAAATCTAACCCTTACCTTCACTTCTATGTTCCCTAAAATCAAATTTTTGCAACATGCACATAGACTTGGCGTACTCCCCATGATGTTGTCATTGCATAGGTTTTATACAACCGGGATCGACTAAGCGACTACGAGGTAGAAATACCGACCGCATTCGTCGGTTACAGCTTTGATTGTGCCGGTGCCATGGCAAAGCAACTTAAGGTCGTTGAGCGGGAACCTTTTGATTTCTCTTGTACAATTATGGCTCTTGAAAAATTAGGTGTTGGTAAAAGTACCACTATCAATTCAATGTTTGATGAAGTGAAGATTGGCATCGATGCTATTCAATTGGGTACAAAAAAGGTTTAGGATGTTGTGGGCACTCGTTCAAGGGATAAAGGTACGGAGTTATTGACATATCAAGACCTTTTCCTTCATGGTCTAACCAACGTTTGAATGAGAAGATCCTTCACTCGTTAAACGCTTTATCAAGAAAACTCCTCCACATATTGTGTTGTATCTTGACAAGTTAGATATTCGGAGTAAGGATTTTGGTGATATGCCCCTCTTGCATACCATCGCCAACATATTTTGTCCATCTATAAGGTTTAATGCAATTGTTATCCCGACCCTACGCAAGCATCGGCTCCACTCGACGGTCCAAATGGTATTGCTTCAAGCTATGATATGTTTGTCATTTGGTGTTCACATGTTGTCAAACAAGCAATTCGTCGAGTTGTTGGAGATATGCGATTCATAAATCGTGTTTCATGAGTCACATTAGAAAGTTAGTCGAGATTTGAGGATCGAGGGAAAATTGGAATCCTAGGGAACATAGAGGTGAAGGTAAGGGCTTTTTAAATGAAGGCAATTTAGGGTTTTCTTTTCAATTCATTTAATTCTTTACTAGTATTAGAAATTGAGAGGAAAAAAATTAATATCACATGCCATTATCTTGTTACTCTTAAGCTAAAAATTATCTCCATTGCTTGAAAAAATGATTTAAGAGATCAAATGCGATCGCAAATTAAGAATAAAGGGATATGAATTTTAAAAAATTTAGTATAAGGACATGATTAAAACATTTGAAACGAGTAGAGGGATATCTTGAACATTTAACCTATTTTTTAAGATTAATGTGCACCAATGGATAGTCAAGGTGTGTGTATGTGTTATTTTGAAGAAAACATGATTAATTTTAAGTAAGTATCGTGATTAAATTAACTACTGTATATTAAAATTAAAAAAATCACATGATGTTTTAACAAATTTGACTAGATTGGTGAACTTGTTCAAATTAGACCAAATTGCATAATTACCCATTAAAGCAAAAGATAATTGAAACTAAATTAATGTGGCTGCAAAGATATATATAACTAGGAAAGCTGATGAGGATTTTGATGGGCATGATTCAAGAGTTAATTATTAATTAGGCATACATTTATCCACAGAACACTAGCTAGGGCTTGCAATAGGTTTGGTTTAGGCTTTCCTGATTAGGTAATTAGTGAAGGAAGAAAGGGTGATTATGGTGTGAACAAAAGCTAACACAATCTTGTAATTTCATATGGGTTGAGATCCCAAACCTGACCAGTGACCACCTTTGGAGTTAATAAACAATTTGTTTAGTACGGCCGGCCTCTGGATTTGGAGATGCAAGTTACTATTGTTGTCCAATTAGGTGGTATTCTCCTCTTTCCATGTCCAACCTCACCAGACACTAGCCAAGCCGCACTCTTTTAGCTTAGCTATATATGGCTTTATAAACTATACAGCCATGAGTGGCTCGAGATGAGTGAAAATGTATAAATTTCCTCATTGCAATACTATTATCTTACAAGTTGAGTAAGAAACGCACAACTAAAGTCGACCTATAACCTTTTACTTTTACGTGGATTAATTATTTTTTGATTGAGAGAGACACAGCAGAAAAAAATTAAAATGTAAATTAAAGAGAGAGACAGATAAAATATTAATATGATTGGAGCAATTTGAGGCCAGTAGAGATGTCGTCATTGTTGACGTCTTGTTGCTTTGGAAAGAATCCTAACTATTTTGGGGGAAAGGTAATTATACCTTTCTCATACAATGATGCCCTCTTCTTCTTTTTTACTACTAATATCCAAGATAATTCTGCACTAATGGAAAGGAATCTTGGCCTAGAATCACATGAACTTATCGTCAAAAAAAAAAAAAAACATGAAATTATTGTATAGCAAAAGTAATTAATTTGAAGTTGTTCTTGCATCTTCGTATCGTTTTTTTTTTTTTTTTGAATGTTATTAGTTTTTAACTGTTAAAAAGGATCAATGCAGCCCCATTTAACTATATCATTATCAAAATGAAAATTAAAGGAAATAATAAAATTATAGCATTCTCAAAAAAAAAAAAATTATAGGTTAGTTTTTCTGTTATTTTCATTATATTAATTACGTTTTATCCTCTAAGGATTTGTAAATTGCTTTTAATTTTTCTACTTATCTGGTTTCTTGAAAGAGAAAGGAATAACAAATCCATGGGGAATCGTACAAAATTTCCCTTGATTTCTGCCTAATCAAGCAACATAGGTCGCTCTCACATTCAAGTCACGATTCTTTTTACTCTCTTCTATATGTAGTTAATATATTGTAATTTGTGACAAGGTGGTCTAAAACCTAAGCCGACAAAATGGAAAGGAAAATATGTGGCCCTAACTGGACCAAGTTTCTGATTCAAGTCTGTGCACGGACATGAAAAGCATCACGGCCACTTTGTCTGTCCTTGGAAACAAACTTTCAAGCTCCCAGCCAATGGATCTATAACAGGCCACAAAGAAAAACAAAAGGGATCACATGAAATTCTCCATAAGTTTCCTTGCCCACCAATCTCCTTTAAGATCTTTTTCGTTGTCCTTCACCATGGATGGTCAGGGTTAGCCATGGACTAGCTATGAAAAGGTCGCTAGGGACCAAATCAATCGGTTTGACTGTAAGACTTTTAGGGTGGTTCAACCATCCACAATCAAAAGACACAGCCTGCCACAAGTAACATGGTTACGAAGATTTTTATGGCTCCTATCATTTTACCCCATCCAGGACAGCGAAACGATAAACCTGTAACAAGATAGTACACTCACTTTCAAGTGCTTGATGATTCTTTTTGGATAATTGATCGCATGTGGAGTAGTTTATTTTTCCATGAAATATTGTTTGTATGTCATGGTTTAATTTCTTTGCTTGAGTCAATTGTTACTAAGGAATGAAGTATGAAGTTTAGGCTTCTCACAAAACCATGTCAGATGGGACTTTTTTATAATCACGAATTCTTTGTTTTAAAAACCTTTTATGTGTGTGCGTGGAGAGAGAGTTTTTTTCATACAAAATAAAAAATAACTGTAGAGAGAGAGAGAGAGTTTTTTTTCATACGAAACAAAAAATAACTTCAATATATGTATTTTTAGAGAGTCCTTTCTCTGTCTCTCTTTTTCAAAGATATGTAAGTTATGTTAAAAATATTAATTTAATCATCGAAATGATTTTATTGAACATCTTCTAATACTACTAATTTTAATATTTTAAACTCCATATTTACGAGATTTTAAAAAACACCATTATTATTTTTTCAACCCTTTCAAAGAAGTTGGATATCAAATACAATAAATTTAGATGTTGAAAAAACTAATACGTGAGTTTTAAAAATGTAGAAATTAAATATATGATTTTTAAAACCATTAGGACTAATTAATAATTTTTAAAACTATTTGTCAATTTTTTTTAAAAAATAAACCTATAAAGACCAAGTTATAATTAACTCTTTCCTTTTTAATAACAATTGTCTACAATATATAAGTAAAAAATAATGACTAAAATTGCATTAAGATCACATATATAACGCAAAGGTCATATATTTGAGCCTTTGATGTAGCGAAAATGTCATGGCTCCAACTCGAGTGAATCCATAACCTTTCCAAAAGCATGTTGTAAGATAATTAGATGTCAATGATCCGAAGAGTGACTTGGAATTTATTTGATCCTATTTTCGGATAGATGTCAATGTCTCTTATCACCTATCTAAGAGAATCATTATAAACTTTTGCAATCATATTGCTTGAATGCATGTAAGAAGCATCCATAGATAGATGGTCTAAGTACATACCGAGGTGAAATATTAAGAATCGAACCATTATCGATCAAAACCTTAGTGATCATATAGTCCTTACACTTGATTATGATGTGCAACAGCTTTGTTATGACTCGTGCCTTTGGGCCTAATTCATCTTTAGAAAATGAAAAATAATTGGTAGCCTAAATTCTTTTCACTAAATGCTCTATAACGTCGAGGTAACATCTCGAGAGATAAATGCTTCATTTAGTACTTTTTTTAATGCCTTTTAGAGTGGTTCGGAACTTAGAAATAATGAAAGCATGGAGATTCTAGTTGGTGTTTTCTTCAATTGGTCCATCACACTCGTAATTGCTATTTTTCATTACCTTCAAGAACTTGACGACTTTCTCATCATCCACTCGGTTTGTTTACCTCCTCTATTTTAATAAGATTTATCACTGCTTCCGCCGTATATCTTTTTCTACATTTCTAACTCTTCAAGAGTAAAGCATCTCCTATTTTGGGTAAGACCAACTACATCGGTGCTAAAAAACAAGTTTATTATTAGATAAGTGTGACTTATTACATTATGCGATAGTAGCTAGGTGATTCTTCGGCACCGATGAAATCATTCTTAGGGGCCCATTACTTGTAGGTTGATATATGTATACCTCGGTATGGTTCATTTCTTGTGATAAGATCGACTCTACCATTAGTCCTTCTGGCCTTTCTCAATTCGCGGGGTTCCCAAGACAATCATGGTTTCCACCTCATCGTGAAACTCCTTACAATCATCAATATCATGTCTTCACATTTCATTATCTCGAAAGTATCAACTTTTATCATCCCTACTTTGACTACCCACTAACTTTCTAAGGTAACTCATTTGTGATAACATTATATAGAGCTTATCCATCGATAGCTTCACACCCTTCGCTTCTATTAAATTCGACTTACTTAAAAGTTATCATGCTTACCTCTTCCCTTCTAGTAGCCATGATTTAGGAGTGGATTAGTGTTGACGTTTGAGATACTTGGGTCACTAAAACTCATCCATCTATGCTTGATGAGGGTTTATAACTTTTTTTAAAGGATATATAATATTTTATATAGTGTCCAATGATGCATCCTCGATATTCACATTGTTCATCTTTTTTGTACCACGATGAGTATAGAGGTCGTATTAGTTCTATTAGGATTAAGGCTATTTGTCTTATACTAACCAAGCATTGGAATAACTCCCTCAAAGATAGTAAGAGAGAAGGTGATGGTTCGAATTCTTATCCGGTGTATGGGCTAATGTGATTAAATTGACTATGTAGCACTTGGTTGTTAAAATTTAAAAGAATACGAAATGGTCCGACCAAATGAGAAAATTAATTAGTTTGGTAGGCAAGGATGGTCGGATTGTGCTAATTCGATTGATAGGGCTAATATGGCTAGTTTGGTGCACAATATCATGTTTGAGGTCGTAGGAAAGGTGACAACTATAAAGGCTATTTAGTGGAGTGGTTGAGAGTAGGGTGATGATTGGATTTGATAGTGGATTTGGTTAGCATACCATTCTTGGTTGTTCCAATAACTTTTAGGTTGATGAGTTTCCACTCGATGGATTTCTCCTTCTATTCTTTTAATTCCCATATCGGTTTTCTTTTTTATTTAACTAGAGATTTTCCT